ATGAATGAGGAGTCGCAGAGAGAGATTTGATTCGCCGGTGAGGAAGAACGCCGGTGAGGAAGGATCGCCGGTGAGGGAGGATCGCCGGTGAGGGAGAATCGCCGTGAAAGAGAAGTGATTTTAGGGTTTTTAGGAGAGAGAGAGTGAAAATGAACGTTGAAATTGAAATGAACTGTTTGATTATACCCAAAATATTTTTTTGTTTTTTTTTTTTTAAAAAAAACCGGGTTTTCAGTCTGGACCGGGAAATTTCGGGTTAAACCCGGACCAGACCGAAAACCGGAATAGACCTTTTTTTAGAACCGGGACCAGACCTGAAGGTTCCGGCCCGGGTCCGGTCCGGTCCAATCCGGTCCGATTCATTTATGTACACCCCTAGCCGGAATAACCTCACTCGACCACCCCAAAACCCCCTCCAATCAAAAACACCACCCAGCCACCCCGAAAACCCATCTCCACTCTCGGTGACCCTACCAGCCACCACGAAAACCCCATCTCCATTCCCGACAACCCCATCAACATTCACAATTTTCCATCCAACCATCCCAAAAACCCCAGCCACCCCAAAAACGCCCCAACAACCTCGAAAAAGTAGCCCTCCCCATAAACCCCACCCACTACCTCGAATCCCCCATCCCGCCATCCCAAAACGACTCTTTCCTCTGCTACTCCCTGTAGATTCGCCGCAAAAACATGAAATTTGTACTTAATGATTTCATCTTTTTGAAACAAAACCCGATTATAAAACAAAGAAACCATTAAAACAAAAACCAATCAATCAATTAATTCAATTACCTTCGATGTTAAAGAAATTTCTGCCGCCATAACCAGCTGAGTAGTGATGGGGTTGTCGGGGAAGGGCGGGGGGCAAGGCTAGTGGATGACGGCGTTCAGGCGGGGGCAGGGCTAAGGCAGTAAAATTGTTGGTGTTTTTTTTTTTTAATAAATTTTGTTTTTTTTAATTATTAAAATATGACCAATTAGAAGGTGACACGTGGCAAGTCACCTTCTAAAACCAGTTGCCAAATTATAAAACCGGTCAAGGGCTTGTTTTGAGAAAATAGGGGGCAAAGGTTAGCTTGTTCCCGGAATACTCAAAGGTTGGCTCGTTTTGAGCAGATCAAGCAAAGGTGGGATTATTCTTTTCAATTTTTCCTATTTTATAAGATTAAAAAGTTAGTTTAGAATTCTAATTGGATATAATTTTATGGCAAAATTGTTAGTTTAGAGTTTCACTTTCTATAAAATATCAATATTTCAGATATACAAATTGAATTATAATTTTATTCAAAAAATTATTAGATTATAATTCTCAAAAACTATCATATAAATTTAATTTTTTTTATATCATAATATTTTTGCAGCAAATAAAGTAGCTCAAAGTGTAAAACATCCATTTATAATATATACTAATCGGTTAAAATAATATACTTCACAATTTAATAGAATTTTATTACTATGTAGACCTGTCAATTAGGGGTCAGGTCACGAGTCATCTTGGATTGAGTCGCTTCAAATCACGAGTCAAGAAATGTTCAACCCTTGCCCAAAGTTTTGAGTTCCGGTCAACTCAACAGGCTTTGAACATTTATTTAATTTAATTTTATTTTTTGATAATTTTTTTTAATGTATTAAATCGAACATTTCCAATTTTTCATTAACATTATTATTAGTCATTACATGCCTACTGGATAGCAAATCGTCACAAAAGCACATCAATTCCTAACTAATTTTGTATCAAAGATGTATTTTAATATTTGACATATAGATTAAAAATTTATCTTAGGATTCAATAAACAAGTCAGACATCACACAAGGCACAAAACTAGCATAGGATATACACAAATTCTTATATGTGGCTAGTCACATGGTGTGACCACTCATAATAAGACATTTAATTAAGTACAGTGATGAGCAGATGGGGTTACATTGACGTATACAGGCTACTAAATAAAAATAAGGCTTACTTTCTTACATAAGTGGAATCATTCTTTCAATTTTTTTTTTTTTTTAAAAAATAGGGGTTACTCGAATGAACAAATGATCGAGGTTACTTATTTCTAAATTAATTGATATTACTCATATAATGAATTGGAGTTACGTTAATAGACAAAATGAGGTTACTCTCATGAATAAATAGGGTTTCTCTATATATATGTATATATATATATGTGTATATATATGTATATATGTATATATATGTATATATGTATATATATATGTATATATGTATATATATATATATGTATATATATATATATATATATATATATATATATATATATATATGTATATGTATATATATATTCCTCCGTTTTTTTTATTGCACCATGAGAGATTTCACGCTTGCCAATGCATAACTTTAGCTATTAATATGTTCAATTATACTTTTGTAAAAATTATAAAAATTTGATAATTGAAAAGTAGATTTCGAGACGAATCTAACTAGATCTCACATGACTCTATGTTTTTCCTAATGGATAAATCACAAATGATGGTCAAAGAAAAATAAGTGAATAGTGTAAAAGTCCTAATGGTGCAATATATAAAGATTATTCTTAAAAATTAATGTGGCCACACCGTGTGATTAGCTACATACAAAATTTAGACCTTGTTTGGTTTACCTAATTTTGGCTGATCTGATGTGATCTGGTGTGGTCTGATATGGTCTAATCTGATTTGATCTGATTGTCTAATTTGACCAAACTTTGACCTTAAGTGTACGATAATCTATAAGGAAAAAAATATATCAAGTAGGATCTTGTTAGATTCGTAATAATGTGTAGTTTATTAATATGCAATTTTCACAATTTTTTTAATACGAAATTAAAGATATGTAGCGATAAAAAACTGCACATATAACGATGTTCTCATCTGAACTTATTTTTCTAATCTGAATATATTTTTTATAATCTGAACTTATTTTTTCAGAAATAAATAAAAATAAGGTGAACTAAACAAGGCCTTACTCTAAGATATAAATGGGGTATGGTTTTATATCATACTAGTTTTGTGCTCGTTACAATGCACGGGTTGTTTATTTAATTTTAATATAAATTTTTAACCTAGGATAACTCATGACCCGACCCTAATAAAATTCTATTAAATTGTGAATTATATATATTATTTTAACCAATTAGTATATATTATAAACGGATGTTTTACGCCTTGAACTACTTCGACCCTGTTCTTTTGAGCTTCTGGGCAGAGCAGAGCAGATTTCAGCAGAGCAAAGCAGAGCAGAGCCGAGCCGAGCCTAGCAGAGTAGATTTTATTATTATTATTATTATTATTATTATTATTATTATAATAATAATAATAATAATAATAATAATAATATCACATTATTATTTTAATCTTTAAATTTTTAAATTTAAATATTAATTATTATTATTATATTAATTATGATTATTATTATTAAATATTATTTAATTATTATTATTAAAAATTAATAATTAGTATTATCTTTAAATATTATTTATTATCTTAATATAAATTGTTATTATAAAAATCAATTATTGTTATTATAATTAATATTATTAGTTAAGTATTATTATTACTATTAGAATAATTACTATTATTATTATTATTAAATAATAATTATTATTATTAATATTATTATTATTAATAATTATTAATAATTAATTATTAATTATTATTATTAAATATTATTTATTATTATCATTACTATTAAATATTAATTATTATTATAATAATTCAATATTAAATATTAATTTTAAGTAGAGTAGAGCAGAGCAGGGTGGAGCAGAGCAGATTTCAGCAAAGCAGAGCAAAACAAAGCAAATTTCAGCAAAGTAGAGCAGCTCTAAAGAACGGGGCCTTCCTTCGTTCCAAAAAATATTATAATACAAAAAAATAAATTTATGTGATAATTTTTGAGAATTATAATCTAATAATTTTTTTGAATAAAATTATAATTCAATTTGTACCTTTGAAATATTGATATTTTATCGAAAATAAAACTCTAAACTAACAATTTTATCATAAAATTTTATAATTTTTTTAATCTTATGAAGTCTATTTAAATCTATCCAACGTGGCGGCGACACTTGGCGAAAAGTTAGAACGCCAAGTGTCACTGTCACGTGATCTGACTAAAAGTTTAGCTTTATATATTAGTTATATGATTATCATTTAATATTTTTATTTTAAAATAAATTGTGAATTTTCTCTCATTCGTGAATCATCATTTTAAAATAAAGTAAAGATTATATGTTTAGATGATGCGTCATTATCCCATCCCAATAATTGAAAAGATCTACTGCATTTGAACAACATAAATTTAAGCAAATAATGCTTGATTTGGTTTCATAGATTTTAGGATGGTACTCTTTATACGTAACAATGTAACATGGTTTGATTTGCAAGGATAAATATATGCCTTTTACTTTATTAGAGTTGATTGGCTAATTTGTGTTTAATATTTCAAATGTAAAAAAGCAAAGAAAAAAGGCACAATGAGCATTTATGTGTAACAAAGTAGCAATCACGAGCTTAGAAAAAAATGAGAACAAGGCTAGATATATTAAAATGTTTATGAAGTGATATAGATGTTGACCATAGTTTCTCAGTTCTTCAGAAGCAAACTTATCTTTACGATAGAAAAAGGTACATCAAGCTTTATTCCTAATCTAGGGTTTTTCTTACGCAAATAAATTTACGAGCTAATCATGCATGTGCATCCACATACATGCATGATTTTACAATACTTAAATAACTAGCGACTAACTGATCCAATAATAATCGGATGATTGCATGTTGAACATTTCTAATGATGAGTGACATGATACCTTATGAAACTCCACATTAATAGCCACCGCCTCCATATCCTCCTCCATGGCCTCCACCATAACCACCTCCACCTCCACCTCCAGCTCCTCCACCAACACCACTACCAGCTCCACCTCCATAGCCACCTCCATGTCCTCCTCCATAGCCACCCCCAAGGCCTCCTTCATGGCCACCTCCATAGCCACCACCTACACCTCCTCCATAGCCACCACCTGCACCTCCACCAACGCCCCCTCCGTATCCACCACCAACACCACCTCCATGGCCTCCACCAATACCACCTTCATGGCCACCTCCATAACCACCGCCAACACCACCTCCGTGGCCACCTCCTACTCCACCTCCATAACCACCACCAACACCGCCTCCGTGGCCACCTCCTACTCCACCTTCATAACCACCACCAACACCGCCTCCGTGGCCACCTCCTACTCCACCTCCATAACCACCACCAACACCACCTTCATGCCCACCTCCTACTCCTCCTCCATAACCACCACCAACTCCTCCTTCGTGACCACCTCCTACGCCTCCTCCATAACCTCCACCAACTCCACCTCCATGTCCACCTCCGACACCTCCACCCTTGCCTCCTCCAGAACCATATCCACCTCCTAAACCACCTCCGTGGCCACCTCCAACACCTCCTCCATAACCACCACCAACTCCACCTCCATGACCACCTCCAATGCCTCCACCCTTACCACCTCCTCCATAACCACCACCAACACCGCTTCCTACACCACCACCTTCATGTCCTCCTCCATAACCTCCACCAGCACCTCCTCCTTGTCCTCCTCCATAACCACCTCCTACACCACCACCTTTATGGCCACCTCCATATCCACCACCAACACCCCCTCCTGCACCACCTCCATAGCCTCCTCCTGCACCACCACCTTCATGTCCTCCTCCATAGCCACCACCAACTCCATGACCTCCTCCAACACCACCTCCATATCCACCACCAATGCCGCCTCCTTTACCACCCCCAATGCCTCCCCCATAACCCACACCACCTTCCCCTCCTTCACAACCCTCCTTACCCAACTTGTTTTTCTCCTCCAATTGTCTTCCCTCAGCTAAACCGATAAACACCACCACAAGTGATAACACTAGAAACGACATTCCTAAAGCTCTCATAAACTTCCCCATGGTTTTAGCTCTCTTACTCAATGACACTTTTGTTTTTCGTTGAGTGATTGCAATACAATTTGTAAAGTTGCAGCCTATTTATAGGAAAATTAGGGCTTGGAAAACGACATAGTAACCCCACTTAGTACATAGTAGGAGTGGTAGTAGTAGTAGTCGACTAGTAGTAGTTTAATGGTGGACTCTGAGAGTGCATACGTGGTATTGTGTGCGGCAAACAGGCAATGTTGTTTTTTCAAAGTTGCTTGACCTTGGGTAATTAAACCATTTAATGACGGTGCTTATTTTAGTGGAAGTTGATTAAGAAATATTAACAACTACCTACTTTCTACCCACTCAGTGAACAATTTGATATCAATTACTACTACTATTCGTACTACGTAAAATCATGCATTATCTTCATTCATGATTTTATATTTATCATGTTAACGTCTTATTGTGCATTATGATTACAACCTTTACAAGATATTATATGAAAACAAAAGTATATATACGAAGTATAACTTTTCAATATCATTTGATAATTCTATAATTAATTATTAAATCTTTGAAAGACTGATTAATGAAGATATAGTAGTAAATTAGTAATGCATGTCTTGTTTTCGATACTTAGGAGTAATTTTTCTGTCAGCAAATCTCATAAACTATTGATTTTTATAAGTCATTTTTTACTAATTTTGTTTCAAAATCTGCTTGAGTAGAATAAGTAGAGCAGTTAAATACTTCCTACTTCTAAGTTACAATTAACCAACAAAAATACAAAATTTAACATACATATTATAAAAATTATCCATTAAAAATGCTATTTAGTGAAATTAAGTAAAAGTATATAATAAATAAAAACAACACACAAACTAGAAAGACAAGCAAAGATAACGTCGATTTCGAGTACGGACGGCCAACCAATGGGCCGGAGTCTTATATTATTATATATGATGATTAAAATCTCTCACATTCTCTAATATATATGAGACAACTTATATGTACACACATATATAAAAGGTTCAGATTAGTAGCCTTTATTTTCACTCCCTAATATGGGTTATGAAATACTCTCTTTAATACTTTTTTTTTTCTTGTAATCTTGACACACCGTTTACAATTTGAGCGAAATTTCTAATTATTCTCAACATACAAGGTAAAACAAATTCAAGTGTAATTTTTCTTGATTTGTCACAATAAATGTTGAGTATAAGAAAACATGTTTTATATTTATACAAATTGCATAGAGAAAAGTATAAAGTCTGAAAAGGAATAATAATAATAATAATAATAATAATAATAATAATAATAGAAATGGGATGACTAATAAAGTGGCTCTTATTTCCAATCTAGTGTCTCTTATATTTTAACCCTAGGTCCCTAGCTACATTATATTGTGATTATATTAGTAGTTTAAAAAAAAAAAAAAAAAAAAAAAAAAAAAATCAACTTGCTAAAATTATATCTTGCTTTTTTTAAAAAAAATATTCATTAATAACAAAGTCACTTTGTGATGTATAATAAAAGGATGTTTCTATGGTAGTCATTAATTCTTAATTAAAATGACTAGTACTACACTTAATTTTGATTATTGACTGATTTTCTTTTTATTTTTGCTAGTCAAACTTTATTAAAACACAAAATTTTATATGTGGCTAGCCATGTGATTAGACAACATATGGCAATGGAGGTTACTTCATTATTATTATAGGGGTACTCGATTAGTGTTACGACATGAATTACTTCTTCAATATTATAGGAGTTACTTAGAGCTTGTTCATATTTACTGAACTGAATTGATTGGAGCTGAACTGAATTGATTGGAGCTGAACTGACTTGAATAGAGTTGAAATGAATATTTTATGAGAGAAGGAAATTAAGAGCTGAACTGAACTGATTGGAGCTGAACTGAACTGAAATGATTGGAGCTGAACTGAAATTAAGCTGAAGTAAACAGACCCTTAGTCAGCACGAGGGTTACTCGATCAATGTTATAGGGCTTACTTTTTTTTTTTAAACAACCAAACACATGATATGGCGAACCGCACACAAAATGAGTTGTAGGGGTAGTCATTTTAAGAATGACTATTGTAAAATTTACAACAATAAAAATCATACTCCATATTAAACTAGCCAATACAAATCAATTTGGATTATGAACCTTATTTCCGTATATATGACAAAATCTCTATTGTGAATGAGATATAACATTATAAATGAATTCTTCATATTCTGTTTCACATTATTGTTTGATGACAAACTTTTAAATAAAACGGATGTTCAGTAAATTACTGAACATCCGTTTTAAAGTGACAATAAAATGTGCAAAAGTTACACTAAAACGTACAAAAGTTACCCTGACATATATAAAAGTTATTTATGCTTCATTGATAAATTTGACAAAAGTGACACTAAATTTGACAAAAGTGACACTATATCTGACAAAAGTATACCCGATGTTTAGTAAATTACTGAAACCCGGGTGTATACAAAAGTTTTCTTTGTTTGATACAACCTTTTATGAAGGGTCTTTAGATCTATTGTAATTGATATACATAACTAAATATGTAAGTTTTTTTTTTTAAAAGACTAAATATGTAAGTTTAATCAACACTAACGACGTTAGATTTAGTTAAACCAATTATTGAAAGAAAAAAGTAGGACGCGTAAAGAGCTTATTAGATTAACTTCAAAAATTATTTAAAGAATGGCAGATTTTGCGGGAGAGAAAATCTAAACCTTCAACTGCCTCCACCCTTTAAAATGTTCCAATATTTCAAACTTTAATTACTTTATAAGATTTTTAATTCAACCTAACCTTCTGATAAAAATGTTAAAATAAACAACCAAACATATTGGAATGCCACGCAAATGTTTGGCTCTAATTATTTTTAGAAATATTAGTTGAGTTAGTGTCTAAAAAGTGGTTCCATTTTAGTCAATTTTGTCGATTTCTGATTAATTGAAATTGACCTTATTAATCTTATTCTAAATTAGTAGTTTGGTCCCTAACAAACCCATTAATTTCAAGTACCGTGTATTTCCGCAAAAACAATTTACAAAAACATTAATTAACTAGGACAAGTCTTTGCTAATTAAGGGGATGGTAAATTAATTATTTACTACAAGTAGATTATCATCTTCCCATTGTTTTGACTCAATGCTTAATTTTATTTTCCTTCTAGGGCTAGTTGTTTAGCTTGTTGGAGTTGATATAGTGGTTGATGAGCATGTGCAATTCGGCAAAGTGACATTGTAGATCTTAGATTAGCTAACTATTCCCTCGTTACCAAATAATTGTCTCGTTTTACAGCTGCGTATGTATTTCGAAAGGTTAATTAATAATTAAAATAATAAGATAGTGCAATTTGGTTGATTAAAAGTGAAATAATAAAAAAAAAACAAATTAAAGTTAGCTAAAGTTGATTATAAGTAAAATAAAAAAAATGAAGATAGTTTTATACCGGTGTATGATTGATTACTCATTTAATCCACATAAATGTACCAAATTTTAGGGAAAATCGGAGAAGGTTCAAGATGGAAGTAATAAAAAATTTATTTGGGGATGAAAGAAATAGCTAAATTTTTTTGGATGTTTACATATCACCCTATTGATATTGTTGTTAAAAAATGAACATCAACATGAACAAAAATAGAGTTATATTGTAATTGGCTTTTGTTTTTACTTGTTGGCTTTTTTTGTTATTGTAGTTAAATGGTTATCAAAACTTTTCAGTAATTAACTTTTTCATTGGCTAGAAAATTAGCTTTGAACCATAAATGGAAATAACTCATTGGCTTACATTTTCACTTGGTTATTGGAAATAACTCATTGGTTAATTACATTTTCACTTGGTAATTTTTTCTATTTTTTTTTTGGTATGATCAAAACTTCAACCATGGTGGTTTTATTGGTTAATTATTTGCTAGCCAAATATTCAAGAGTAATGAGGAAGGGGAGGAAGTACTAATAGACTATTGTTATGCATTTGCAAATGCATAACAAATACTAAAATATTAAAAATCACACGAAAAAGACAAAAAGGAGGAGAGAGAAAATAAGTGGAACATTTTTAATTATACCAATGAAAGCTTATATAATAAAATTGGTTATTTAGTGATACTATATATGTACGTAATTAGTGCCACTGAATGCATATATAGTACCATTACAAGCATACATAGTATCACTAAATATTCAATGGTACTATTTTATTACTCAATGACACTATTGATCATTCAATGGTACTACTCTAAAGTCATATAATATACATTACGTGTAATTACGCCCTTACTCCTCGTTATGCAATTGTTTATGCATAATAATACTCCCTTTAAGCTCCCTCAAGGAAGGGTAAGGGATCCTCGTCCCTAAGTCATGCAAATGAGAAGATTGTTCAACCTAATTAGGTAATTCAATTCCTCACAAGTTATCTCACTTAGTGTGTTGAAGTACTAATGTCTTTTGTATTGCTAACAGGCCTTACACGTACGGGTTAACCATGACTAATTAATAATGTTAGCCCCTCGAGTTAATTATGGATTGCACTCTTTTTCTCTTGCAAGGTTGTTCATATTATGCTATAATCCGCTAAATTTCGGGTATATGCTAACGTTAGTAAAATTTACGTTGATTTCATTATTACAGAGTATATGATTAGTACAAAATTTGATTTTATGAGCAACATTATTGAAATGTCTCGACCTTATTTGTGGAGGGTACAAATCATTTATCGATGGAAATTAATCTTTATTTAATGAAGGCATTGAAACTTCATTATCTTACTGACTTCATTCCTAGTTGTTACAAAAACATGTATCAACCCCTCTCCTAGCTCTCTTCAGTCTTCAATATGTTTTGATTATTGTCATGAACAAATACACATTCACAATCCATTCATACTCGTACTTCTTTTTAGTTTTTTCTTCTATTATTATTGTTCTTTCTCATTTATTCGGTATAATTAGTTGATAAGACTCCAACTCAATCAAAGAGTACACTTTTGTGTAAATATCGTATT